CCCCCTACTACCCACCCCACCTTTTACCCCCCTACCCCCCTACCTACAACCATTTTGCACATATATATATATATTTCCTATATGCACAATATCTAAGCTACACAATTCACAAATATATTTTTAAAAAAATATAGCTACAATTATTAATTTCATGATGCAACAAGCACTTCCTTACAAGTCATCATGTTTACCTATAACACTACGAGTTCATCCAAATGATCGTCATCATCGTGTAAGTACCAGCAATTCATCATTGTACGTTAAAGGTTCAAAAGAGGAATTGAATAACGTTGTTAAGGATAACGCGGTTATAGTTGTGGGAAGACGAGGTTGTTGTATGAGCCATGTTGTCAAGCGTTTACTTCATTGTCTCGGAGCCAATCCTGCTATTTATGAAATCGAGGAAGAGGACGAAAATGAAGTCGTTGATGAGTTGGAGAATATAATTGTCGCCGGAGGTGGTGATCGGAAAGAGACCGGACGGTTGCAGTTTCCGGCGGTGTTCGTCGGAGGGGAGCTGTTTGGTGGATTGGATCGGATTATGGCGGCTCATATAACCGGCGAGTTGACTCCTGTATTGAAAAAGGCTGGAGCCTTGTGGCTTTGAATTATTTATTTCTCTTTTTTTTTTCTTTTCTTTTTTGGTGTTTTGGGAAATAAATCAAACTTGGTAGATGTGGAAATACAAGATTTTAGTTAAGGGTAGGTTCAATTTTTATAATACAATTATAAATGATGTTCCACTCAAGTTCGATATTCACTTAATTTCGATTCTCACAGAAAAAATCTCACTTTAAATATGAAATACTTCTTGCTAAAATCGACTTTATATTCGATTTAAACTTGTTAGTAAGAACTTGAAAATTTTGAACTTTTGATCATTAAAATTGGCTTGTGGTATATGCTTGGCTTCTGAGAAAATGTCAGTTTCTGGTTGTATTTGATCTAAATTTCATAATTAGCCACCTGGTCCAAAGCTCGCGTTTGAGTCCCGATTAAATTCGATCGCGATTGAGGCAGTTTCACGACAACTAAAGTTGATTACTATCTCAGTTTCAATTTAGGTAAACCTAATTACTTTATTTGCATTTCATAAAAAAGATAGGCAACTTTTTAATGTAATTTAAACATTTCCTTTTTTACTGTCACATAAATATATATTTCAAATTATAAGTTTTTGTACGAAATTAAATAAATTTAAAAGAGATGGACTGTATTTATTTAAGTTGACTAGTACTTGTTCATAGGTCTACTCTAAAATAGTGTCATGCATTACGTTTTCCACAACGCTGTCTGCCAAAACTAAAATAGAATAAGTGGAAAGAAAAGAAAACCTAACAAACACAGATATTTGATCTTCCATCTCTTACCTTTTATTTGTCAAATATACTAATTGTAATTGTTGAGACAATTATTTTTTCTTTCCAAATAATTGAAGTACTAGTTATCAAATTCAAATTTTCAAAGTATCATTAATAATAATAAAATAATTAAACTTAGGGGTCATTTGATAGCTGATTAGAGTTATGCAGATATTAGTAATATGTACATTAGTTATGAGTGAATTTATATATTATTGGAAAAACTACATAAATGAGCCATAAAATTTAAAATAATTACATGTTCATACTCCAATCCAAAGTAATTCAAGAAATACCCATTCTCTCAACAAAAAAAAAATACAGCCCATACCCCATTCATTAAGGCTAATAATTTTTGCTTAAATAATCAGTATCATATACTGTATTGGTATTATTAAGACTGATAATTTAGCTTAACTGATACTATATATATATATATATTGTATTGGTATCATTAAGATTTCTTGTTCAGAAATTACTCGTTAGTTAATGATACTATAAGAGAATATGTATATGTTGTGGTATCATTAAAGTTTCTTGTTCATGAATTATTCATTAATCAATGACACATAGATTCTCTCATAACTTACACATTTATTAGTTCTGTTGGTTTCTCAATTGTCAACCAAACAACGTATTAATTTTATACATAAATAACTTATTTTATATCTACCTATCAAATGTCTTATAAGTTATACAAAAATTAATTCATGAATAACTAATTTTTTTTATCCAGCTACCAAACAACACCAAATGTTTTCTTAACGAGAATGTGATAAGTAAAATGAACAAGGGAGGGTACTATTAACAACTGAAGAAAATGAGCCCAAGTCAACTTTTATGGTTGACAATTGAACAAATTATTTTCCAATTTCAAATTAAGTTGGAGTCGATTATATGAATTTTTTCGATTCCAATTGATTGATCAATGTCAAGAGTAAAAATTGCAATTGCTTAAGGCTTTTAACTTTTCACTAAGTTGTTGGTTAGAGTTATACAGAGTTGAGTACTGCAAGATTTAATTTTTTCATTTTCTATCGTGCATAAAATAATACATAAATTTCTTCTGTATTAACGCGAGTTGACAAGGTTAGATTTTTAACACGAATGGTAGAAGGCTAACAGCCTAACACGCAGAATTACACAATTTGTGCTTAACATGGAATTTTTTTCCCAATCTGTGGTTCAGTTACAATGTGTCAAACCATGAATCAAAATCATCGATAATTTTGGACTTGGAGACAGGTTGAGAAGCAGAGGGTGTATGACCAGCAATGGAGCTTACCTCAGTAGGTAGCGAATGCTCGTTTTTGTTAGTCACAGTGGATGTTTCTTTGAGAAGATCATCCAGTGTATCGTCCAAACTGATATCTGATATTGCAGGTGTGGGTAGTAGATCGTGGCCTCGCCTGGGCTGGGTGGAGACCTCCCGTGTAGATGAAGTTCCTTCTGCTAACGGAGTTGGTGTTCCTGCTTGTGTCACGGGGTAAGGACGAATAGACTGGTCAATAACATTCGTGGACTCACAAATTTCAATCTCGGTGACTGAATCAAGAAGCATGTCAAGCTCTGCTTCTGCAGCTGCTGCCTTAAATGCAGACGGTTTCTTAGAAACACACATCAGTGTATCATTTTGTCCAGCCTCGTCCTTGAATGCAGTCGAAGGGTTAGAGGATTCATAAGCTAAAGTTGGATGTCTGCTACTGCTGCTTGTGGTGCCCAGATGCGAATGTTGATGCCTGTTTTCGTTGCTTTTGTTAGTGGAGGTTAATGAATTGAAGTCTTTTTCCGCTGTTGAACTCTTGCTTGAAGCTAGATCGCCGTCATGTTTCTCTTTAGCTGCTGATTGCGACTCCTGATCGCTCTGTCAGTTTTGCACATTAAGTACATGTATTAGACTATATTACAAGATAGTACAAAGACATCCTACAGGAGTTCACAAAATAAAATTTTAAACAAATATTGAGCATTCTGAATATAGGCGAAGGCCACTATTTGCAACGAACACGGTATTCTTTAGTAAAAGGGGAAAGAATAATTTGCTATGTGCTCATTGCGTGGCTGCATAAGAGGAAATTGTATAGACCTAAAAGACTCGCAAAAAAGAATAGCTCGAGAGTCATAGAGGATTGTTGCTAGTTAAACCTCACTAAAACTAGATCAGTAATTTGGATTCTTGAATCTCCGCAAAACAATAAAGTGGCCTGACAGTCGAGGATGAAACCTCATAAGTTGAAACTCCAGTTATTTCAGTAAAATTGACTTTCAGACAATTCAGAAGTTTCTCACTATCCTCACCCAATAATGAAACACACATACCTAAATGTACATGCTATATAAAACATGAAATCATTTTCTACCATTTTAGCACACTGAAGCGGCAACATAATAATTTTTTGTGGAGTAGCTGGAGAGGAAACCGCCTATTTTATTAGATGATTCATCTGCATCATATATGTTGGTGCGGTTTGATGCTTTTAGGTGCACTACCGTGTGACAGCCAGTGTTATCAAAGGCGCTTTAAGCCTTGAAGCGAGGCTCAAAACGTGTTGAGCGCTTCGCCTCGCTTTATGTGCACTTCAGTGTCGTCATCAAAGTTCTAAGGCAAACTTTTCCTTGCCAATGAGCCCTTTTATGAATAAGTGACACTAAACAATTGATATTTCACTTTATCATAATTTTTTTCAATCTTTTTGGTCATATATTTGTCATTCATGTTTATAATTATTAATCTTGGACTAAACATGTATGTTTGTATTTTTTTCTCCCTTTGCGCCTTTTTTCATTAAAGCCCACGCTTTATTTGCGCTTAAAGCCCCCACGGACCTTAGAGTTTTTTTGCACTTTTCGCCTTCGATAACACTGGCGACAGCTATGGACAGAAGGTCTAAAAATCATTTTCAGCTCAAAGCTCATTTTGCAGGCCTTTTTCTTAAACACACACTGTCGCACCTTAATTAAATGAAAGGCCCCATGTTTCCAGCATATAAGCATTAATCAACATTAAATTTTGGGAGATACGGCATAGGAGGAAATCATAGATACATTACATACCAGTACCAAAGGAAGTAAATCTGGTTCAATGAAAAGTCTCTCTTGTAGACGTGCTCTTTCAAGCTGCTCTGAAAGAGCTTGCAGATCAAGTGAAAGAAATGATGCCTGCAAATACAAGAGTGACATAGTTATTAATGAGTTTGACCATATGGTAGCCTAGCAATCTAGATGGGGCACGTCGGCATTTAAGGAAAATAACAAACCAAATCACAAATCAGAGAAAGCGTAATAAAAAAAAATAAAAAATGGTGTTCAGCAGGATTTGCAATGAACAGATGCTATTGCTTCCTAGACAAAAAGGGATTACACGTGCCATTAATATGATTTGCTATCAACACAAGCAATAGTTCACTTCATTACCAGAAGAAAGAATAAACATATGATGTTAATTAATACGGAATCATCAAAAATAGCTAGTAAGAAAGCATCTTGCACATCAACACCTTTCTTGCCTTCATCAGCTGGATAATAGTACTGTCAACTGATTGATCCAAAACACATAACGCATGTCTAATTTGACAGTTCACTGAAAGACTGATGAATTTTTGCAATTATTTATAAGGCAGCTACACTAACTGTAAGTAATTCTAATAACGTATAGTTAACTTAATGCATACAAGAAGATTTCTGATATATATTATCATTTTGTAAATAAGAGGAGTCATCGTATGGTAAGTTGGAAAATACTAGTATAGCTAAAGGAACATATTATAGAGCCATACAGTAAAGGAGTGGGTTTTATTCAGTCTTAGCTTGATTTAGGAGGCTATGCAAATATACCCCTCCTTCAAATTACAACTTCTGTTTCTATTTGCTTTCGGTGAATCAGCAGGGGCTGAGACTAACCCACCAACTATTAGGTAGATTGGATTCAAAAAGAAGTCTTGGTGATTCACATAAATCTTGCTAGGAGTTTGTCTGTATGGTCTGACATGTGTGTGGATTCCATAATCAGGTTTAAAAAGGAAATCAGACCTTGCTGTTCACTGAAAGCAGGTTACTCCTCAATCCACAATGACTAGTAACGATCCGGCACCTCAATCGTCCGATACTGAAATAACTAGTAACGATTCGGCTCCTCAATCCACAACAACTATTAACGATTATTCTCTTCAATCGTCCAATATGGACAGAAAGATGTTGAGGTATATATGTTTGTATGGACTAATTCAAGAATCAGGTTTCAAAAGGCATATATGTCGCATGTTGGGTAAGATAGTGAAGTAATTCATATGCCATTAGAGCTTGGGTTCAAATATTATCATCACTCATAAAAATAAAAAAATCTTCATGTGCTTGGCTCAATTACCGAAAAATCTGTTGTGATAGTTGGCCCGACCTCAGTCACTGACGCACAAGAGGAGCCCACCCCTCTACCCTTCCTACACTTAGTACCAGGGTCCTGTCAGCAATTCACACATTATGTATAGTGCTTCCTTACTACTGAACCAAAGCCCTCATGGCAACAGAGTTTCTGTATGTATATTTTGATAATCTAAAAGGAGATGAATCAGAATTATTTCGAAGGACGAGCTCAACCAGTACATAGGCTCAAATAAAAGTTCCTGTATTTTTGGCTTAAAGAGTAAGTCTCACATGTCAAATCTATGAGACTTAGACACTTCACTTGATTCATCCATACCCACTGATTAATGTAAGTCACGTGATAAATGTTGAGCTAAGTTCTAGTAACTATAGATATAATGAAGTGCTGTTTGAGGAATAAAATATTTGCTAACTTATAAGAAAGGGTACGGTTCATTTGTTCCTTCCCATGGTTTTGCTATTAAAACAATAGAATCAAGGGAATCATTTACTTCTTACACAATTTCAAAGAAAAGACTGAATCATCAACTAAAGTCACAGCATGTTTTCAACATGTTGTTAATATTACCGTAGTGTTAGAAGTTTCTAGTCTAATCTTAATGTTTGTGTTATTGAAAGCGGAGATAAATTGTAAATAAGTCACTGGTATCAGCATCCCATACTGCTCTCCTTATAATACCAGAAAACAAGAACAGAAAATACGAGCAAAGGAAACAGACAACCCCTTGGATTGAGAGTAGAAAAATCACCTTAGTGGGAGGAGGTGCCTTATCTTCCATTGCAAAATTTTCTTCTGCTATCCACGATAACTTGCTTTGCCCTTTTGCAGAGAGTAATGCTCCTAGGCCCTGATAAAAGTCTAAAAATTATTGAGTCAATACTATAATTTTGGCCAAAATTATCTAGACTGGCATAGCCGCAGAAAAACTTGGAAATACAGCAGTCTGCGAAATTTTTGTAGTGTAACAAAAATAAGCAATACGTTTAAGCTGCAATGAACCTGAATCAACACATTTTCTAGCAAGAACCAACAACTTAGACAAAGTACAGATAATATAATATTTCAATGTTGAATTATTGATGCAATCACTTTTATAACTATTTTTCTGAATCTAAACTTGTGCGAGATTGCTCCTAGTCATGCCTCACCCCTAACATTCCGCTATGCTCGTACTAATCTGAATCTAGTAACCAAACAGCAGACAAATAACAGTAAAAAGGCTATGTTCAATATTTCAAAAAACATTTATGGCCAACTTGAGTTTGAGAGAGCAACAGTTTTCTAAAAGCAGAATAATGAGCAAGTTACCAGTTACAATTGTTATACAATTTCGACAGGTTATGAATGATAGCATCAGAAAACAATTCCATATAGCTAAAAGTTCTGGGATAAAAGCATTACCATCTAAAATATCATCACCAAAAGAAACATCCTCTGAAGAATACTGAAGCTGATCCTTAGCCTCTGAAAGCAAGTATGCATAATCTGCCCCTTTACTTTTCGGCTCGACCACATCACTTGCATTACTTGCGCCTGCCGGGGTTGCAGTTTCAGAATCAGAATTTTCTTCTTCATATCGATCCCAATTCGATGGGAGCTTCGGTTTAGGCTTTTCCTTAACTTGCTTGACAGTAGCCTTCTTATCACCGACAGACGTGCCAGAAACAGCAGAAGACCCCTTAGATGCATGATGTGGATTATGCTTCTTATTAAGATGTAACGAATGAGCTCTCTTTGACTTTGCCAACGCTTTTGCATCCATTTTCTCTGTTCAGAACTCTTGATTAATCACACCTGTAGAACCAAAGAATAACCGATTTCAGTTGATGGGTCAAAAACATTAACTTCGCTAGCGAACTGATCTCCATGTTAACCATAACATACATCAAATATTTAAACCAGAAGTCCCTATGAATTTGAATCACAGTGGCTGCTTAGTTGGGCCTTAGCATATTTGTATGAATATTTTTATAACACTGGTGTCTGAACCAGCTTACGCGCATCTCGACTAATTTCATCCATCCAGTAAAAGTATGCCAATGTCATACCTACTCTTCCTATTCCTACTTGGATTGAATTAGCATGTCAGTCTAATCTAACCTTATAGACTAATTCCACGGAATACCTGTCACCTCCCACTAACAACAAGGATTCTACTCTTTTTGATATTATTAAAAGTAACTCCAAAACTTGAAAAAACACCATTTGAATCACAATGACTGCTTAGTTTGGCCTTGGTATTTGTATGCATAAAAAAAAAAAATGATAATCGTAGTGTCTGGACCAGCTTACACACACTAGACTAATTCCATGGGTGTTGCCTCCCGGCTCCCACCCATAACAAATATCAGGAACTTTATCCACTGAGGCTCTAACATCTAAGAAGAAATTACCTAGTATTTTTGTTTTTCGGGGATTTATTCATTGACGACTAGACCAGACCCTCGACGATGTGCGTAATTTGATTGTGTAAATGCTAAACAATCACAATCGAATGCAAATATATAAATAGAGAAAAATTAACATATAATAGATGAATTTTGTTCATAACAAGGAACGATTAATCTGAAAATATCAACTATAATGTATGTCAGAAATTCATCTCAGTTTTATTAAAATACAATCGAGAACAATTAACAAAATATTGACTTACCACAATTAAGCTCGAAATCAAAATGATGCTAATGATAAATACAATCGATTTAAGATGTCCGGAAGAAGAAGAAAACTCAAGCTGAACACAGATACTTGAATTCTGGATCGACACTTGAAAAGATTAAAGTGTAGTATAATTGTTGGATTTTGGGTTTGAAAACTGATGGACTCCCAATTGAGAGAGGTTGGGCCGGGTCGTAGAACTTTGGGTTTCAAAACTAATGGACAAGAATTTGCTCGTTTACCAAATTTGGCCATATTTTGTGTCCTGGTCTTTAATTTATATCCATCATAAAAAATGATTTTTTCGCGCAATAAATTTATATTTCTATATCATAATATTCAACAAGTTACTTTGGGACATCATTTCAATTTTTAGAGAACTTATGTCCTGTAAAATATAAATTCGATTACTAAAGGACAAACATTAAAGATCGATCGATCAATCAATTTGAAGCACAAAGCATGCAATTTTATGTTATGTTATCCGATAGTTATTTGCAGCATCTCTTTGAAATTATAACTTAGTGGTTAGTAGGTCATATTTGGATATGTACATTCAAATTTATAATTTAAAAAATATGATAAATATAATGCTAAGAACCTTAAAGGCTGAATTTATAAAATTTAAATCTTGAATTTCTGTTTAATAGTGTACCAAAATTCTAATGGATATTGATAGATGAATTGCAACGAGGTCTAACTTTAGAGACACAAGTGCAAAATGTTCACATATGGGAAGCTATAAGCAAGAACGAAATTTTTTTAATTATATAATTTCAAAAGTTCTTTGAATCTTACCTCAAGTTTTCTCTATTTCTTTCTTGTTCTTTTTTCTCTCCATCTTCTTTCTTGTTCTCTTTTCTTTCTGTCTATTAAAAATAACTAATTACACACTTATTTATAATATTAAGAAATCAAATTAAATTAGGACTAGAAAACTTATTTCTATATAAATTAGGATAAACAAATCCTAACTAGATAATAATTAAATAAATAACAAAAAATTCTAAACAACTTAGTATTCCTACTCCAATTTTGAATTACCGTTGCTGAAAATTTTCATTAATTAGGAGTCAAATTATAAATACTTTAACATAATTTAAAAAAAAAATGAATTCAACAATATATATGTAAATATTTATTTATTTATTTTTAACTATCTCTCTTAATTAAAAAGACATTTTTATAGCTCATAGTGTGAATCTAGATTAGTTGAGCCGTAAAAACAGATATAGATATCAAACATGGAACGCAAAAACCAAAAATAAAACTAGATATAGCCTAGGTAGCTAGTCCTTGATGCCTAAAACATGAAGATATATAATTGGAGTATAGGGGTAACAAAGAGGAAGATTTCTGAACAAATTGTCAGCAACCAATTGACAGAAATTAGTGTCCATATTTTTAGCTGAAAAAAGGAGGCAACTAAAACCTCAATCACTAAGAAACTTCTTGAACAATGCACATGATGTTAAGGATTCTGCGCACGAGTAGAGAGACCCCAGCCTTTGCAGTTTACTTTTGTCATATCAACTCTTTGTACATAATTCATAACATATCCCCACCACTACTTTGCTTTTTCTCAAGCACTAGTCAAAAGGCAAACATCAACACATTGATATAGAGTACTGGTAGCTTAATCAGAAATTTCGAGTTTGAGCTTCTAGAGATAGATAAAAGTTTGTTAGAAGTGGTATCTTTAAAGATGAACTCTGCAATAAGTGAATCTGAATTTAGTTAATCCTAATGCAGGTGTATACACTAATACCAGGTGGGAAACAAAAAAAGAAAAGAAAAGAAAGATATACTAGCTAGACTAGTAGTATTAGTAGCTTACCAATTACGGTTGTGGTCGAATGGTTCAGAGAACTCTATTCACTCTTAATTAGAGATTTCAGGTTTGATCCCCTTGAGATAGAAAAAGTTTTATTGAAAGTGGTGTCCCTAAAATGAAACCTGCAATACATGAATCCGAATTTAGTCGGTCTTAATGCGGGTATACCCGAGACCAAGTGGAAGACAAAAAAATAAAGACGATATACTAGACTAGTGGTAGTAGTTTACCAATATGAGTTATGTTGGGATGATTCAAGATTTCTTCACCTTTTGACAAGAGATCTCGAGTTCGAGCCCCTGAAAATAGAAAAAATCATGTTGGAAGTATTGTTTCTAAAAATGAACTCAATAATGCACAAATTGAAATTTAGTTGAAATTCAATGCGGATAGCTGACACTGAATGAGAAAGAAAGAAAAAAGATATAGGAGACTAGTATAGTAGCTTTCTTTTTAGCCCCTACTCTGGCATCACTCATACATATTGTCTTTTGAATAATTGTCCCTTTGGCAAATCTCTAGCATATTATAAGGTTTTTGAATTTTGGAACATTTGGTCGTGTACATATATATGTGGTTCATGAACTAATGTACGTACATTTTTGGTTTCAATTATTTGTGACTGCTAACCCTTTTAGATTCTCTTCAATCATGTCATCACAATAATCTAAAAAGTACATAAAATGCTTGAAGCAATAGTATTATTCACTATTACCTTAATTAAAACTTCAATGATCTATTTATTCTGATATCGTGTTAAATTGTATGATTACTTTAATTAAAGCAGAGAGACCTTTTTATTTACTTAATTATATCATTGGTAGATATAAAAACATTTAAACTTTTGACCTATTAGGAAATTAATTACCAGAATAACTTCCTTATTTTACTTTCTTTGGTTGGAAGGAAATATTCAGATTTTATGAGTATCAAAGTTAGAATTGAATCACAACATAAAACCCACTATGTCCACCTAACCATTTCAAAAGTGACCATATTATATATAAATAAAAAATATAGTCATGAGGAGAAATTAGGCACAAGGAAAATTAACCAAAGAAAAAAAATGAAAAAAAAAAGTTCAAATCCTTTTGTGTGTGGGATCAAAGAAAACTTTAATCAACTTCTATTCCTTTGCATGCAACTCAATAAGTTATTAATTAAACATAATTTATCTTATTTTAATTAGCTGCTGTAGGCTTTTTGCATTCTGAAATATTAATTATAAGCTCTTTCAAAAGCATTTTGAGAAGATAATAACTAGAACAAATATGAAAGCTATATCAATAATGGAGTTGAAAAAAGGGTTATCTTGCTTTGCCCCCACTAAGCACCCCACTTCTATAAAAAAATAATATTAAAATTAAAGCCACCATTTTTATGTCCAGTACCTATATTGGAGTTTGATTATAAAGTTGAATTAGTGCGGAGAAGTCCCACATTGGAGATAAAGTGTTTCCTAACAAAGGAGATTTTGTAGCCAAGGAATTCAAATCCGAGACCTTTGATTAAGGATGAAGAGCACAATCCAGGTTGATAAAGCCACCATTTTTAAAGTGAACACATCTCAGGGTTCAACAGAATATGCATGGATCTCCTCAAGCTCTTTTGATCATATTGTAACATTATTTTTTTCAGATCAACTTTTTAACTTTCTTCAAGCACTCAATTGCTACCTTTTCTTCACTGCAAAGTATGCAAATGCTAAAATCCCTCCACCCAAAAAAAATAAAATAATCCACTTTATTGCATCTTAGCTTTTAACATTAAAAAGGGAAAATTATTACATGGAGAAAAGAGACGGTGAGAATTGAACTCACATCTATTCTGTAATAGACTCTTATCGATAACACTAGACAGTAAGACCCTAATGGTTAGACGTAATATTTAAATAAAATAAAGTGAAAATACTCAATTTTAATCATATCCATCCATTGATTGATGAAGGGTGACAGATTGATTGTACTCCAACTCCCAAAAAATCCCTAGTTTGTCCTCCTGCTCCTGATCCTGCTCCGCCTCCGACTCCTTTTACACTATCTTCAATTTGAATGTGACGGCGTTTTGAAGGGGGATACATCTGTATCGGGTGAATAGTAGCAGAGAAATCATTTACTGATGAACTCTGATCTACGTCACTTCCGAGACTAGTACTGATTGAGTTATTCGTAGTCGGAGTACTAACATAAAATCCACAAAACTTGTTATTGTCATTGTCATTGTTCTTGTTGTTGTTGCAATTATTCATCGTGAAATTTCCGAGGAATATCGATGGATCGGTTGCGGTTGTTGTTGTTGCTCCGATCTGAGCTGCTTTTTGGAGTAAAGCTGTTGCAGACATATTTGCTGTAGAGGAAGAAAGTGCAATTTGTTGTTGAGAACTGAATAATGACGGAACGCTAATGTTTGCAGATGAGGTGTTTGATAATTGTTCAGCATTGTTAATTGGAGAGATTTTGGTCCCGATGAACTGATCCCAGTTGATATGGTTGTTATTATAACTAACTGGTGGAGCATTTGAATTACGTGATGCAAGAAGGGCATTTGCATCATAAACTGGTGTTGGTGCTGGTGAAGTGTGATGAAAAAGGGGACTAATCTGATGGATTTCGCGGAGATTATTGATATTGATACCTATTTGGTCTTGCTCTTGAGCCACGCCTATATTATTCCAAAGCGAGAGCTGATCTCTTCTCAATGGATCCGAGTTCTCATTGTTGTTTGAAACTGGTTTGAAGAGAGAAGAGAAATGTTGTGCCATGTTTGGCCCTAATGGCGCGCCGATGAAATGGTAGTTGATGTTGTTTTCCATGGCCAATGGGTTGTGCATATTAGATGCTGCAGTAACTCTAGCCGTCTCCTCAGCTAATGCATCGCAAAACGCCCTATGAGTCACAAAGCTATCTCTCCTGCTCAATTCAAGGTGAAAATTTAGATAGTCAATCATCTGAACAACTAAGATAGCGTTTTGTTTCAAATACAAAGAGCAAGAAAAAACAAAATAAATACTTTTTAATGAATATGAGAATGGAGGAAAGTGAAAAATAAAAAAGGTGTACTAGTACTACTCTATAAGATCCTAGTAGTAATGGTACCAATTAGGTGAAGAGCTTAAAAAAAATGACTTTGTAGTGATTACAAACAGCTATTTTGTCTTCATTAAACTACCCACTAAGAAAAAGAAAGTGAAGAAAACAAAGATGAAAAAAAGATTAATTTCAACTCTTTTTCAAGTTCATGTGTAAACAGACAAACACATGACAATCACAAATTTAAGCATAAATAACTAGAGTT